AACCGCACGCACGCGCGGGCTGATTCTGAACCACGCTCCGTTTTGTTGCGGAAAGCTTTCAGAGACTTCGAAGAGATGTGAGATTTGAGCCCTGAATAATTATCAGCTATAATTATCAGGCATCCGAAATGATGGTGCTTTTAAGTCAGTACTTACAGTACGGTGCACATTCATGGATTGAACACCTAATCGCATGAGTGGAGAATGGCCGGCTAACATCAAATATTTTACCGTTCATTGACGTAACCGCATCCCCGTGTGCGTGTTGTGAGCTGATCATGCCACGTTCGTCCCTCCCCTACCCTCCAGGGACCAGTTTGCCGGCTCACCGGCTCGACCCCTAGGCTCGCCCCAGCGGAGAACATTTTGGCTTTGTCAAAACATCTCCCCCTGAGCAGGGGCGCGCCGTGTTGATGGCGCGCGGGGGCCATCGGGTCTCCAGCGTGATTGGCGCGCGCGCCACAGACGCGCACCGGCCCCTGCCGCTGGCAGCGGCGGCGTGCCAGACCTCGGCCCGTCACCTCCCGGCAGTGGTCAGCGAGGGTGGATGCCTGAGCTGCCGCTCCCAGCACCAGTCAACGACAGGGTGTCAAAACCACGCTAAATTCGATGAAATAGGTGAAAACTGCCAAGCCCGCCATATGGTGTTCTCGTTCGATGTCCGTTGGCTCGGCTCGGCTCGACCGACCGGCCTCGCTCAGCTGAGGTCGAGGCGGCCTCTCGACAACAGGTGTACGGTACGGTGGTCTCCAGAGCGGGTCGAGCGACGAGGAGTGTCGCCACCGGCCACCGCGACGGGCTCCCGTAACAGCCGCCGCCGCCGCCGCCGCCGCCGCCATCAGTGTTCGTGGCCAGCGAGCCATCACGGCTGGTGGAGCGGCCGCCCAGTGATGGCGTCTCTGGGGCGGGCGTCAGTCCCGGCCGGGCCGCGCCGGGGTCAGACGGCTGCCTGACGCCGGCCGGCGCCGCCGAGTCGTTAGACCCTCCGCTGCCCAGCTGGCCCACTTGGCCCGCGCCCGTGTGCAGGCTGCGCCGGCCTAATTGGGCCCTGCAGCGCGCCGCGGTGCCGCTGCCAGCTGACGGCCCCTGCCTGCCTGGGTGACGGTCGTCACCAGGTCGGTCCGGCGGGGCCCGGCCGGGACACGGGGACCTCGGACGGACCTGGACACAGTGGACCCCGGACGTACCGGGACACAGCAGACCTCGGGCGTGCCTGGACACAGTAGACCTTGGGCGTGCCTGGACACAGTGAACCTCGAGCGGACCTGGACACAGCAGACCTCGGCGCGCCTGGACACAGTGGACCCCGGGCGTACCTGGACACAGTGGACCTCGGGCGGACCTGGACACAGCAGACCTCGGGCGTGCCTGGACACTGTGGACCTCGGGTAGAAGATCGGGAATGGGGCGCCCGCATAGATTTTGCGGGTCAGGTGAAACCTCACCGCCAGGGGATCGGAGGAAGTTCGGACGTTGAGTAAGCCTCCCATCTCCGGGAGATCGCAGGCGCTGCTGGCGATAAGCAGGCGGCGTCGCCAGCAGCTTCTCTTATGTATGGAATACGGGCAGCCCCATTTCTACGGAGTGTCGTCCAACGGACGACTGCGTAAATGGACGCTTTTTCCTCCGAGAGAGTTTTCACTCCGAGCCTCTCAGAGCCGCAGCGCCCCCTGTACCCGCAGCCTGACGCTGGTGTCTGGGGTCGTTACCCGCTACTGCCGCTCGTAGCATGGGGTATAGCACAAGCTTGGATGCCTTTCCGAAAGTCGATGCCATCGTGGGACGACTTGGTGCAGTTCAGCAAAACGTCCTCCAAAAGGCACCGCTCAAAATATTCCCAAGAGCAGTGCTCATTCACGGCCTCAACCGCTCTGTGGGCGGCGAGTTCGGGGCGACATGCGGAACATCTCTCGTCACTACGATAGCGGCGGCGACGGCCGGCGCACAGTCACCTCTGCGACCTCTCGGTGACACGCCGGCCGGCGATAACGCCCATCGGCGTGACCTTGCCCCGCCGTGGGACGTCTTTGTCAGCAGCGACTCCTCAGCGCGCCGCTCGCTTTTTGACGCGGCCGCCACCGACTGACGGCCCGCCGAATACTTGGCGTCGGGCGAGGCGGTGGCTGCGGGCCTGCTGCAGAGACGCCGCCGCCGCTGGGCCGGCGCCGCCTGCCAGTCAGGCGACGGACGGTGCCACACATTTCACCGGCCCTGGCGTGGCCAGCCAGAGGCTGCCTAGCTGATGACATAAGCAATTACCGGCGTCGAGGGCAGGCAGTCGCTGCCATTAACCGCATGGAGGCTGGTGATGTAAGACGTGGGGTCTTGACTGCGGGGTGCACGTGGAGGCGAGCGTCACGACATCTCTCTGTAGGGCGGGGGTGACAGTCCGCCGCTGGGTCAGAGGTGACGGTCCGCTGCTGGGTCAGAGGTGACGGTCCGCCGCTGGGTCAGAAGTCACAGTCTCCATTGGGTCAGAGGCGACAGTCCGCCGCTGGGTCAGATGTGACGGTCCGCTGCTGGGTCAGAGGTGACGGTCCGCTGCTGGGTCAGGGGTGAGAGACTGTCGCTGGGTCAGATGTGACGGTCCGCTGCTGGGTCAGAGGTGAGAGGCTGTCGCTGGGTCAGAGGTGACAGTCCGCCGTTGGGTCAGAGGTGACAGTCCGTCGCTGGGTGGGTCAGAGGTGACAGTCCGCCGCTTGGTCAGAGGTGACGGTCCGCTGCTGGGTCAGAGGTGACAGTCCGCCGCTGGGTCAGAGGTGACGGTCCGCTGCTGGGTCAGAGGTGAGAGGCTGTCGCTGCGTCGGGTGACAGCCCGGGTGGGTCAGAGACAGTCGCCGCTTGCGTCGAGGTGACAGTCCATCGCTGGGTGGGTCAGAAGTGACAGTCCGCCGCTTGGTCGCAGCCGCGTGGTACGGGACAGTACGCTGCTGGGTCAGACATCGTGACTGGGTCCAGTACGGCTTGGTCAGAGTGACAGTCCGTGGGTCAAAGGTGACATCCGTATCTGGGTCTGAGGTGACAGCCCTCCGCTGGGTCAGAGGCGACAGCCCTCCGCCGGGTCAGAGGTGACAGTCTCCGTTGGGTCAGAGGCGACAGTCCGCCGCTGGGTGAGAGGCGACAGTCCGCCGCTGGGTCAGAGGCGACAGTCCGCCGCTGGGTCAGAGGTGACATCCGTCTGCTGGGTCGGCCCTGATGAGCAGCGCCCACATCTGCAGTCGGCCGTGGTCGCCGCACTATAACTCCAGCCGCACGGTCCGGAGACGGCTCAAGTTGGGGCGTACCGCCACAAGTTTTCCAATAAAGCACGGCACCGACGACAAAAAAGGCGCCGTTTAGGGAAGTTGGCCGGCAGTGGGCGGTGCCAGCACGACAAGGGGTTTAGGCTGGCTGCCCTACCGACAGCGTGCTGTGGAAGTGCGGCCTTGAGCGGGCGCCGCGCCTGTCTGTGCAGCGCACGCGCCTCGACAGGTCTCGACAGGCCCTGCTGATGGGACCTCGCACCGGCGGCACAGCGGCGCCGAACTTGATCCTCCGCTGCCGCGTCATGTGGCCTTTGAGGATGCGGCATGTGACCGCTGCCACTGTGACATATCACTGGTGTTGATGCGCCTTCTGACGGTCAGCCCTGGTGTAATCGGCCTGACGGACCGCAGGCTCGGAGAGGGTTACCATACACGCGCTGTAAGCAGAACGGAGGACGGCGTCGGCTGGATCGCCAGCTGACCCACCATGGACACCTTTTCCATGCATTGTTGCTATTTCGTTGGACTGGTTCCTGCTGCGTTGTCGTTTAACCCCGTACTGACATCTGTGTTGACCCATCGGTGTCCCTCCTCCTGAATTCGCTGGGGACCCGCTGCTGGTCCGCACAGAGCCCGAACTAGCAAACAGCACCCTACCAGCCCGCCTGTGACACGCCTCGTCTTCGTTACAGACCAAGAAACACCCGCTGAATCACGTGAAGCGGCCGATGAACGCCTTCATGGTGTGGTCGCAGATCGAACGGCGTAAGATCATCGAGGTCACGCCCGACATGCACAACGCCGAGATATCCAAGGAGCTCGGCCGGCGCTGGAAGCTGCTGAGCGACGCGCAGCGCCAGCCCTTCCACGAGATCTCCAAGCGGCTCAAAGAGTACCACCAGCGCGAGTTCCCCGACTACAAGTACCGGCCGCGCAAGAAGACGCTCAAGCCGGGCAAGACGACAGAGCGCACGCGCTCCAAGGCGCGCGCTGCCGCCGCCGCCGCCGGCTTTAAGGCGGTGGTCAACAACAGCGGCGCGTCGCGCTCTCGAATCACGCAGACGGCCGGCGCCAACTTCACGCCCGTCAACCACCAGCGGCTCAAGCTGAAGCTCACCATCGACAACAAGTTCCGCGAGAGCGTGAAGCGACAGGCGGCTGGCGGCCGGCGCGCGGCGGGCTCGCCGCCGCGCCGGCAGCGCGTCGCCAGCGTCGCCTCGTCACACTCGTCGCCGCGCGCCAGCCCCAGCGGCGCGCCGGGCAGCCCGCCGGCGCTCATGCCTGACTCGCCCGAGTCGGCCACCATGTGCGAGGAGGCGGCGACGGCGTACGGCGAGCGCCCGCCAGCCGGGCTGCACGCGCTCTCGCTCGGCTCGCCGCCGCCGACGCCGGAGTGCGAGCCGGAGGAGGACGGCGCTGGCGGCGGGGCGCTGCTGTCGGCCGTCAAGCAGGAGCCGCTGGAGCCGCTGCGCGTGGACGCGGACGCGCTGGACGAGCTGCTGCAGCTGAAGGTGGCCGACCTGGTGACCGAACTCGACATGCCGCTCGACGCGCTCGCCTCGGACCTCGACCTGGACGGCATGTCCGTGTCGAGCAGCTCCGGGTCGCACCTCGAGTTCAAGTACGACCACGACGTACTGTCGGGGCTGGGCGACTTCAGAGACCCGTGGGCCGACGAGCCGCCCTTTCGTGACCTGATCGATTGCTGAGCGGTCGGCAACGCGGTGCTTGCCAATGAAAGGCGTTGCCGCACGCGGTGCGCGCGTGCACGCGTGCCGCGGCGCCCCGTGCCGCGGCACGGCTGTGACAGACGCCGCTCCGTGAGACTTGTCTGGACGAGGCCTTACCTGTGCAGGTGCGCGTGTGGCTGCGTCCGCTGGCTGGCTCACTCGGCCCCAGCCGTCCGGCGCTTCATTCGCTCTCGGTAGTGTAGCGTGGTAGCGTATCAAGACAATGCGTGACACCGCCGAGTCGGGTCACACTGGGTCACCAGCTAGTCCAGAGCCCATCCGGTCCACTCGCCGGCTGCAGCCAATCAAACCCACTCCAATAACCCGGGCATTTGTGGAGCGCCGGCGCCCCGGAGGCGGTGGGCCGCTCGTCCAAGTTCAAACTCTCTACCTTGCGATGCCTTCACACGATTGCTTGTGCCATGACCGTTATCACATTTTCCATATAATACGCGCACAGTACAAACGGGCCGGCGGTGGCACACTGCACCATTGGATCTCATTGCGGGGCCGGGCGGCGCCGGTCCGTATACCCGGTGTGGACCCGCACCCCGGATCTAGTGGATACCCGGATCCAGTGGATACCAGACTGACCTCACAGAAGACACAGAGCTTCCGCGTCCCAATCATGCCGCGGCGCCGCGCGCCGGGGCCCTGGGAATCGGGCCGCGTTGCGTCGGTCGTTGCGGCGGCGCCTGCTAATGTGGCGCACCTCGCCACGCGCGCCCCAGACGGGATGGCGGCCGCTACGGTTGGGAGGGTCCCATTCCGTGCCAACCGCCCTGCTGGCACGCATCGGGCTGACCTGAGGCGCTGCCGGCCGCGCATCGGGCTGACCTGAGGCGCTGCCGGCCGTGCATCGGGCTGACCTGAGGCGCTGCCGGCCGCGCATCAGGCTGACCTGAGGCGCTGCCGGCCGCGCATCGGGCTGACTTGGGGCGCCGCCGGCCGCGCATCGGGCTGACCTGACGCGCTGCCGGTTGTTCTCGTGATATAAGCATGTTCTGCATGATGTGGTGCCGTACCGACCTCCATTCACCGGGCGGTGCCCATGGCTGCCAAGTTGTGTCGGAAAATCGAGTGCAATCGAAAACTTGCTCATACTCAAACGGCGGGCAGCGTACACTGACGGCTCCTGTATGGGGATCGCGCTGACCTCGCGCGCCTCCGCCATCTCACCTCGCACCTTTCATTATTAGGCCCCTTTCTCATCTCACCTCTCACCTTTTATCAGCACACGACCCCGCTCATCTCACTCCGCACCTGTCACCCGCGCGCTTCTACTCATCTAATCACCGCGCGCCCGTGTCCATGTCATGTCCGACCGGCGCGACGTCAGGACGCCGGCCCTGCGGGCCAGGGCGGCGCGTGGCGCTCGCTCCTTTGTCGCTTCTCCGTGTGTCAGTAGCGGGAACGCGCACCGCCGCACGAGCCCCGGCACTCGCCAAACGCCATTCGATGTTCTCTCTCGGTGTTAGGTCTAGGTGGAGCGTTGGTGTGACGAAGGAGCGGCGGGGGACGGTGGGTGCCCGTGCGGGCTCCGGGAGCGCCTGGCTATGGTACATATATGTAGACGGGAGACGAGCCGTCGGGTCTTCTCTTCGCGCCTGCCGCCGTCCGGTCCGGTCCGGTCCGGTCCTGTCCGGCTCTGTCCGGTCCGGTCCTGTCCGGTCCAGTCCGGTCCGGTCCGGTCCGGTCCGGTCCGGTCCGGTCCGGTCCGGTCCGGTCCGGTCCGGTCCGGTCCGGTCCGGTCCGGTCCGATCCGATCCGGTCCGGTTCGGTCCGGTCCGGTCCGGTCCAGACCTCCGGCACCGCTCGGCGGCAGCGGTTATCGGAGGGACGTCCGACCGTCGGCATGGAGCCTGCTTGCTGGCCTCGGATAGCGTCTTGGTTGAGATGTCTTCGCCCCTTCGGCATGTGTTGACCCGCAGCTGGGGCGACGGGAAGACCCCGGTCCCGCCTCGCGCCGGTCGAGCGGCGTGCTACCCTTCAGAAACACTCCTACCGTTCGTTAGTTCACATGCGTTGTTTTGTTATTACCTGTGCTTATATTTTATCTCTGTGCAGGCTCTCCTGTGTTAGAAGGTGCGGTCCTGGTTCATGCATGGGCAGGCCGTGGTTGTCGCCGAGGTGGTCATCTTGGTTGTACTGTCTTTATAGTGGAGCAATATTTTTTCATAATATAAAGCGAAATGAATGACAGAGTCAGCCCCGAGTCTACTATGGATACCTGGTCGTGTACATTTTGTATGGTAGTTTGTTTACAAAGAACGAAATAAAAATCGATCACATGCCACTTTTTAACGACTGAAATGAAACGAAAAATCAAATGCACGCATCAGAACAATATCTGAACGAGGCGGCTAACATGCAGGTGAAAGCTCTTCAATGTATTTCCCCCCTACAGGAACTTTATAAAGTCCGTTCAGGTCAAACTTCTCGATTGCCGGCGTGCGGCGCATGCCAGGTCGGGTCGGGTCGCGTGTCGCCGCGCTGGCCAATCAGCACGTCCCCACGCGGTCATCGGGCACGTGACGTTTCATCGTATGCCGCTCGCACCGAGCGGATACCGGCCGGCAGCGAGCGATCAATACAGAATCGGCCGGCCACCAGCAGCGTGCGACACGGGGCTCGGCCTGGCGCCGGCGGCCAGCCACACCGCCGCGGAGCTGGTGACGGCGTGGAGGGTACCCAGCAGCCAGACCGCCACGGAGCTGGTGACGGCGTGGAGGGTACCCAGCAGCCACACCGCCGCGGAGCTGGTGACGGCGTGGAGGGTACCCAGCAGCCAGACCGCCACGGAGCTGGTGACGGCGTGGAGGGTACCCAGCACCCACAACGCCGCGGAGCTGGTGACGTCGTGGAGGGTACCCAGCAGCCAGATCGCCGCGGAGCTGGTGACGGCGTGGAGGGTACCCAGCGGCCAGAACGCCGCGGAGCTGGTGACGGCGTGGAGGGTACCCAGCAGCCAGACCGCCACGGAGCTGGTGACGGCGTGGAGGGTACCCAGCGGCCAGAACGCCGCGGAGCTGGTGACGGCGTGGAGGGCAGCCAGCGGCCAGGCCGTCGCAGAGCTGGTGACGTCGTGGAGGGTACCGAGCAGCCAGACCGCCGTGGAGCTGATGACGGCGTGGAGGGTACCCAGCCCAGCCGCCGCGGAGCTGATGACGGCGTGGAGGGTACCCAGCAGCCAGGCCGCCGCGGAGCTGATGACGGCGTGGAGGGTACCCAGCAGCCAGGCCGCCGCGGAGCTGGTGACGGCGTGGAGGGTACCCAGCGACCAGAACGCCGCGGAGCTGGTGACGGCGTGGAGGGTACCCAGCAGCCCAGAACGCCGCGGAGCTGGTGACGGCGTGGAGGGTACCGAGCAGCCAGACCGCCGCGGAGCTGATGACGGCGTGGAGGGTACCCAGCAGCCAGGCCGCCGCGGAGCTGATGACGGCGTGGAGGGTACCCAGCGACCAGCCATGCCGCGGCGCCCAGCAGCTGCTCCAAATACGCCTCGCGACCGCCTGTCGCCGTGGTGCAGAGGTTTAACGGCTAGGGACGAAGTTCGTAGACCCGTCCAGATTAAACCATGGTGACCTGAATCCAGCTAGCCGAGCTTCCCGCATTTTGTCCTAGCAAAGGTAATCTGAAGCATGCTATCGTTTCCACACTAGTGTTTTTTTCTGCATGTCAACGATACAAATTGGCAGTTCATACACCGTATCTATATCACTCCCAGGCAGGCCTACTGACATGCTGGGACTCGGGATGCAGATTTCTATGTAGGCAGCAGGCAGCTGCTCCTGATATTCAGCTTGTGGTTCCGCCGGTTCCGGTGCGCTATGCACCAGCACTAGGTCCAGTCCAGTACAGCGAGAGGAGCCGTGTCCCGCGCAGTGGGCGTAGCTCGGTCGGTGCACCGAGGGAGCGTGTGTACCGTGGGGCGCTCCCGGCTCGGTCGGTACGCGTACCGTGTCCCGCTGGGGTGTACCCAGGTCGAGCTCGGTCCGGTGCAGCGAGAGCAGCTGTGCCCCGGCACAGTACCGTGGGCGTGCCTCCGAGCCCGGTCCAGTGCACCGAGAGGAGCCGTGTCCCGGCACAGTACCGCGGGCGTGTCCCCGAGCTCGGTCCAGTACAGCGAGAGGGACCGCGTCCCGGCACAGTACCGCGGGCGTGTCCCCGAGCTCGGTCCAGTACAGCGAGAGGGACCGCGTCCCGGCACAGTACCACGGACGTGTCCCCGAGCCCGGTCCGGTGCACCGAGAGGAGCCGTGTCCCGGCGCAGTACCGTGGGCGTGCCCCCGAGCTCGGTCCGGTGCACCGAGAGGAGCTGTGTCCCGGCACAGTACCGTGGGCGCGCTCCCGAGCTCGGTCCAGTACGAGAGGAGCCGTGTCCCGGCGCAGTACCGTGGGCGTGCCCCCAAGCTCGGTCCGGTGCAGCGAGAGCAGCTGTGCCCCGGCACAGTACCGTGGGCGTGCCCCCGAGCTCGGTCCGGTGCAACGCTCGCGCAGAGGAGTGTGTCCGCACAGTACGGGGCGCGCTCCCGAGCTCGGTCCGGTCGTGCCCGGCACAGTACCGTGGCGTGCCCCAGCTCGGTCCGGTACCGAGAGGAGCGTGTCCCGGCACGTACGGGGCGCGTCCCGAAGTACGCACCGCGGGCGTAGGTCCCGAGCCGGCCCGGTGCAGCGAGAGGAGCCGCTGTCCCGGCACAGGGCCGCGGGCGTGTCCGCCGCGCAGTCATCGCGCCCGGTCGGCGCCCGTCGGACGCCATCCAACCAAAACGCACGGGGCGTAGGCCCGCCGACACGGCAACGCCCCGAAACCGTGCGTCATGCACTGCCCGCACTTTTATTAGTCGAAACGTCACCCAAATCGGGTCAGTTATTACCGGGAAATGGTCCCGACGGTGATGCTAACGGTCTGTTACCGGAGCACGCCCTGCCCGGGGGCAGAGGACGTTGACACTGCGCCCGGCTGCGCAGCCCGACGAACGAATCCGTATGGACACGTTTGGCTGCGTATGGATGTGCGCGTCATTCGGAGCTCCGTATGGACATGCATGGTCAGGCGTGGTTTTGCGTGGTACGTGTGGTGCGAATGGGTGCATATGACGCACATGGCTACGTGCGTGGGTATATTCAAGTCCATGCGTCCAACAGATACGCACATGTGTGGACATCTGTCGGACGCATGGATAGTTGGTGGTATTTTTGTGGTAGGCAAAGCTGTGCAGGGAACACAGGGTCTGTGTCGGTGAGAGGACATCTTTTTGCGATGCAAATATCACAGAAGTGTAAAGCGGTGCTGCGATGGAAGCGTCCTCGTACTCAGCATGATTAGGGGGCTACCGCCCCATCCAAGCTCCAGGTCACTGTCGGTGCTACTGCTGGTGTTTGTGGTAAACATTGTCATCGATGGTAATGGTTTACGGAAGTTGGCCACTGAAAGTTTGCTACTGGCCGTCAAAATAGCATCAATGCTTTGTAATCTGGAATGAGCCACAACTAACTTTTCCCATTTGTTTAGCTTCGAGTTTAGCCGCTGAAATTCAATCAGGGATTCGTGTTTGAACGACTAGGCTAGACTAGACTGGACTACACTGGACCAGACTAGACTCAACTAGACTACAGAGTGACGGGGCAAGCTGTCACTTATTTGTCTGAGACGAACAGTGGCGAGCCCCAAGGCGTATGTTGCTTCTTAGCATTAGGCAGGGCATGCACTTTTCTAAGGCATGGTCCCAGGACCTTCCGTCTGAGCCAGGAGCTTTGCACTAGATAGCGCGCAGTTTCGCAGATCAAGCACGCAAGAGTTCAGAAAAAGTGGCTACTCCCGCATTTGAGGCGAGAAGAGAAAAATATTGGCTACTTAATAGAAAAAATGGAGAACGCGCAA